GATGAGAGTACGTGACGCAGCTCCACAAATGGGCGCCTGGAGCATGCGCGGAGCCCGGTGGCGCTTTAAGACGCGGTCGCGCAAGAGAACTCTTTCCACCTTATATCACCACCACCCCAGCCCCTCCTCCCGTTCCAACGCGCAATCTGCCACCACTAACACAATGTCGCTCATGGGCCTGCCAACCGAACTTCTTCTGATGATTCAACACGAGATCAGGGACGACCTGCTAGCTCACGTCTGCCTCATGAAGCTCAACACTCGGACGAGGGCCTTGTACAACGCGTTCGGGACGGACTTCTGGAAAATGCTCTGTCGGAGAAATGGCCTGGGGACGCTCGCTGGTGACAGCGTCGGAGCTGGGCTGTATCAAACGATTGCTGTAGAATGTGCCGAGCACGCCTGGGTGTGTGAACACCCAAGTTGCGGGACGGCGCGCCTACTGGAGAACGGTGAGTCTGCCCAGTGCTCAAGCTCTAGGGACCACGTCTAACACGATATGCAGCACAGTCTATATCAAACGCTCGCTTGGATGACCCCACCTGCTCCCCAACACGGACCCTACGTGACGAAGACCCTTACATCCTCACGCCGAATGGTATCTTCCGCTGTATGGCCTTCCGCGGAGGGGAGTTTGGTGCTCCGTGTCACACCTATGTCACCGCCGAAGCGTACGATGGCCAGGACATGCAAGACACGGACGCTTTAGAGGCTCACCCAATTGTCATGCGCACCTTCGCGACGTTCCCGCCCTGCGCCAACATGCGATTCTTGACGTTCGACAATGTACCCACGGCGTCCAATAACGATGGCGTTACTGTTTTTGACGTCATGAAATCCGCCAAAAGCATGTGCGTCCGCGTGCGTCTGTGCAGATGCTTTACGTACTGACTAGTTCACGAAATAGAATGTCCGATATTCCGACAACCGAAAATATCTTTACGTGGCTCCGGCGAAACACCTGTGGGGATACGTCAAAGGTATTTCCACAGGCATGGTCTATCGTAGACATGTTTGAGTCCGTTACCTCGATCGTCGGGTGGTTCAGAGTTGCGTACGCCAGTTTGACGTCTTTGATCTCACAACGTGT